TGAATAAGATATAGTAACGTGGCTTAGTCTCATTCATACATGCATACAGTTTGGTTCACACAGAACCCTTAACTTGAAGCACAGACCCTGAACCTATCAGTTCTGGCTAACCAACAGACACCTGAACCTATCAGGTTGGTACTCTGACACACAGTAGTACCCTGTCTGACACACAGACTCCCACACCAGCTTCTTCTTCCCAGCTGCTGCTTCGTCACCTCCCAGCGTCTCCCCTTTCACCACACCGGCTTCACATTTATATACAGTACAGCCCCTCCTCCTGATGTCCCGCCTTCCACTCCCCATAGGATGGAACTTTCCCTCCAAACCCATGACAGACAGGTAACATCAGTGCTGTATGTAACAGGCACCACTGTATGTCCTCGCCTCCTTGCCCAGATATTATAGCGATATTATCAAAATCCACACAGTCCAGCCAAAAGAAAGTCCAGACTAAACATCAAACAGGGAGTCAGTCTAAAAAAAAAACCCATCGTAGTCCTTTAATAACTCCAGTCCTGATTTTCTTAGGCCCTCTGTCTTCTGTTGAGTTCTTCTCGCTGATGAGCTGATGATTTACTGTCCGTTGCTCCCAAAGATTTATTCTTCCTTCAATAACCAAAGACGCTTCTATTATCAAAGTCCCATTCGACTTTGGTCCTGGCTTCTCCCTCTTCAATCTATATCGCCACTATATCTCATCCTTCTTGAAGTGTGGAATTATTCTGAGATAAAATTGGCTTTTTAAAAATCCAGCAGAAGTGTGTGACTACACCCTGCTTTGGTTTCCTTTGAAATCAAGAATTCTAGAAGGACATGGTCACTCTCACCTACAGTTCCCCTTTACTGCCACTTCCCCCACCAAGTCATCTCTGTTTGTCAATATCAAGTAACTAGCAAATCCTCTAGTTTCTTTCTCCACTTTTTCTAGGAGAAATTTATCAGCCATGCAAGCCAGGAATTTCTTGGAAGGGCCATACTTGGCAGAATTTGCCTCGGAACATATATCTGGAAAACTGCAATCTCCCATCACTACCATGTCATGTCTCTGAAAACCCTGAAATTTGTTTTTCAAAAGTTTCATCCACTTCCTCTCTTTGATTGGTGTATTTGGCTTGGGAGTGCAGTATTTATGGCTGTGAGATAGGCTTTTGTCTTTTTCTGCAGATGGGTGATTACTGTGTCTTCTTGTGGGTGTACTGTTGTGCTAAGGAGAAGAGATTATCTGTCACTGTGGTTGATGGGTGTCATTAGCTGGTCTTTTGTGTGTAGTGATCCCCTGTCCTTGTGGCTGGGTAGAGTTCGTTGACCTTTTGCACACTGTATTTTTGAGAGCTGGGAACCAAGTTTTGTTGAGCTACACAGTTTCCTCTTTTTTGTTTAAATTCTGCTGGTGCTTGTGCTCTTGGACACCAGAGCACAGAGTGCTGTCCTCTGAAGATGCCGGCCACAGAGACTGGTGAAACGTTAGGAAGAACAACCTTCAGAACACGGCCATAGAGCCCGAAAAACACACAACAACCATTAGATCCTGTCCGTGAAAGCCTTCGCGAATACATTTCTCTCTATTCCTCACACCCCAGGATTTCACTCCATGCAGTGGATGTACAGCTGTGAGCTGAGGGAGGACAGGAGCAAACGAGGGTATATCCGGGATGCCTACGATGGGAGGGACTACCTCAGCTTCGACTTGCAGACCCTCACCTGGACGGCAGCCGATCCCAAGGCCCAGATCACCAAAGAGAAGTGGGAGAAGGATCCGGCCATTGCCCAGAGACAGAAGGCCTACCTGGAGGGGATTTGCACTGAGTGGCTGCAGAGATACTTGGAGTACGGGAAGGACAGCCTGCTAAGGAGAGGTGAGGGAACGTGGGCAGAGGGAGGACAAGGTGGGGGGAGGAAAATTGGGGGGGGGAGAGTGGGGCCTTGGGAGGGAGAGACATTCCTTCTCCTTGACAGGTGGAGATCCCCCCCAGTTACTTCCTGGGGAGATCCTCCAGGCACCCAAAAAAGGCCATGGGAGCCTGTGACCAAACCGCCTTCAAACCATCATATGAGAATTTTTTTAGTTTAGAGCTCTATCTTGCGGCTGCAAAGGGATACACCAGCGGTGTTTGGCATAATCATGTATTGTTCTGTTATTCTTCTCTGCGCAAGTATGGGATGTCTTAAAATTGATAATCACTCAACGCCTGTTTGGGCAAAACCCTATCTTATGCAAATGTGCATATTTAATAAATAGAGGTGACCCGGGCGTGAAGGGAAGACATTTTTCCTGGTGATCACCGGTGGCATGCTTTGCAACGAAACGAAAGACTGCAGTGTATTTCTTATCAGAGATTTCTCCCTTTTTACAACCGCAGTTGGGGTTGGCTCTCCAGCAGCGGTTCCCACACCATCACAAGTGTGTGTGTGTGGCCTTACGTGTGAGTGTGCATTTGTCTGTGGCTATGTGTCTGAGATTCGCTTTTGGAGACATGCTCATGAAGGGTACCAGAACTAATTTCTGGATATTAACTTGTCATTGATATGTTTTCAGTTAACCAGGGACAAGGACATCTGATATATTTTTGTTTATTTTCAGCTGAAAAAAAGAGCAAAAGTAAATAGATGCAGCTCAGTCTGCCAGATATAGTAAGTTACACATTCTTGTAGCAAAGCAAGTTACAGAGGCAAGATGGCTTCTGTTCGGCTAAGTTATTCTTTTATATAAATTTGTTCACTTGACTCCTTCACCCAGATTCCTGAACTAAAAATCTACAGGAGTTGAAACCTAACAGATGTGGCTTGAGCCAGGATGGGTGGGTGGCTGGGTTTCCCTCCTCACCTCAGGGTGTGTGTGTTTTGTTGTTCTGGTTGTCTGATACTTCTTTACTTATTTTTCTTGGGACCAAGAATTAAGCGTTTTGTACCCCTTCCTCCACCAGCACAGCCCCCTCCTCCCGTCCTGCCTTCTTCCCAATGAGGTGGCTTTTGGGAGGTGGGGAGGGGGTGGGCCTGATCCTTCCCAGGCCAGACAAAACCACCTTGGGTCCTTTCAGGGAGAAAAGCAAGACAAATATTTTAAATGAATAAATCAATAAAACTCCTTGCCTCCCTTTGCCATTCCTCCCAGTCCTTGACTTGCCTTTGGCTCTCAGGAAAGTCTTGCCTTCTTCCTCCTCCCTCTACCTCCCCTGGGACTTCCTACCCACCAACACAAAAAATAAAACAAACAACCCTCCCCAGGATCCTTTCTGGTTTCCAAGAGACGCTCCTGGTCCTTCCCCCTTCCTGCCTCCCAGCACTTGAGAGAGGATGATGGCAGATGATTGTGGGGTTGAGGAGGGCAAAAGTGGGGTCACCCTGAGTTTCCCAGGGAAAGAAAGAGGATCCCTCAATTCCCTGGAGGTTCTTCTTCCACTTTGGGATCCAGGGTGGTTTAATGGGAGAGGTTCAAATAGTGTTACAAGTCCACGGAGATGTGTGGTCTGCCTTTGAATTATTCTTCTACAGTGGTGCCTCGCTTGACGACGATAATCCATTCTAGCAAAATTGCTGTAGAATGAAATCGTCGTCAAGCGAAAGTAAAAAGCCCATTGAAATGCATTAAAAACTGGTTAATGCGTTCCAATGGGCGAAATACCTCACGGTCCAGCAAAGATCCTCCATAAGGCGGCCATTTTCTGGTGCCTGTAATGTGAAGAATCTGTCCTGAAAACAGCGGGGAGCCATTTTGAAACCCGATGATCAGCTGTTTGTAGATCGTTTAAACTGAAAAATCAGTTCCCAAAGCAGGGAATCGATCATCATGAAGTGGATTTTCCTCATTCAATAGCAATCGCAAAAAACACATCATGAAGCGATGTTAAACGGGGTAATCGTTAAGTGGGGCACCACTGTATTTGTTTTATATATAGGCTGCTTTTCTCCTCATAAGGGGACCCTGCAGGGGGTCCATGGCTCCCTAAAATGGATGGGAGAGACTCTAGGACTTTCCCACCCCTCCACCCCTGTCCATGTTTCCCCTGCCTCCACTAACAGCACCTGGCAACAGGATTGGTCTCGCACACACTCTCTCTCTTAGCCTATCCGTCGTGGGGAAACAAGGAAGCTCCCACCCTTCCCCAGGGTTCTCTCTCTCTGACTTGAAAAGATGCTTTTTACTGGAAGGCGACAGGACGCTGGAAAGATACAGACCACCAGAAGGGATGACAGAGCCTTCAGAGTTGGCTGAGGGGAGGCTGAGGGGATTTAGCATTTTTGGGAGGTTATGGCTCTCGAAAATGTGTAAAATATATGATGTCGCCCTTGCGCTGAAAAGTTTGGAAACCCCTTCTCTAGAGGTTCCTGCAGGGATCTTCTTCTTCCCTTTGAGAACCAGGGTTTGGCTGGATGGTTTCATCGGAGAGGACTAAAACCGTTGCTTCAGATCACAGAGACGTGTGGTCTGCCATTTATTGGTTGTTTTATTTATAGGCTGCTTTTCTCCCAATAAGGGGACCCAAGGAAGCTCACAAAATTAAAAGAATAGAATTTAAAACATAAGTTAAACATTAAAAGCAATTAAATTGTACACTAATTAAAACACAGTATTTTACAGACCCACATCCGCTTGATCAATATCCGCTGATTCACTTATCCAAGGTCTGAAAATACTGTATTAAAAATACTAAAAGAAAGAAATGCTAAAAAATAAATGTCATATTTTGCCACTTAATGATATTGTGAAATTGAAAGCAGGTGGGAAATTAACAGCAAGCTGTCTGCTTTGGCTTTCATCCCAGTGATCGCATATGCTGGAACCAAAGCCAAATGGAACGATCCCACCTGCACCAAAAAAAAATAAAGAGTAGCCCCTGACATGGACTCAAAAGGGTGCAGGTAGGAACCCCCTCAGGAGATGAGCTGGTTTGCGCCTACACTCACGTTTTGTGGTTGCCGTCAGAAGGAGCAAAGCTGCCCCTTCCCAGAGCAGACCAGACAGCGGGACCTGTGCCCAGGCGGTTGCACCCGAAACCTTCAAAAATAACAAAAACAAAATCCCACCACCCACCGTCTTTTGAAATTCTGGCTCGTAAAAAACTTTAAGGTATCTCTAGTCCAAGTAAATCTGCTGTGTTAGATTTCACTTATTTATTTTTTAGAGAGCAACTCAGGTGACTGTAAATGTTTCTTGCTCTCTTCTGGGATTTCCTGCTTTATTTACTATAGTGAATAAGAGGAAAATACCTCGGCTACAAGGTATTTCTTTCTGCCTCTCGCACCCAGTCTCTGGGCAGTTCCCAGAAGCGTGAATTGTTGCACCTGAGTCTTTTCAGATCGTTTCAGGATAAAAGCTCTGCTCATTCCCTTCCTTTTAGCGGTAAAAGAAAATCTCCCAAGAGTCCTCCGGGGGAGGGATTTGTGGGGAAGAACAGACGAGATCCACGGGATCAAAGCCAAGCAACTGTCCTGCCAGGCACAAGAAACAACCCTGCTGTTTTTTGCAGATCGTCCCGTAGGGAAGGTGACGCGAAAGGAGGGCTACGACGACAGGGAGACCCTCGTCTGCCAGGCTTACGGCTTCTACCCCAAGGAGATTGACGTCACTTGGAGGAAGGATGGAGAGGTCCTGCAGGAAGGCACTTTCTACAGGAGCGTGGCCCCCTACCCGGACGGGACCTACCATGCCTGGCTCAGCATCGAGATCGACCCCAAGGAGAGAGACTGGTACCAGTGCCACGTGGACCATGCCAGCCTGGGGGAGCCTCTGATCTTGGCTTGGGAGGCGCCTGGTGAGTGGCAAGAGGGGCGGAGGAGTGTGGGCAGCCGGATGGGTTTCGGGGGGGGCTATTCAGCAAGGGAGGAGTCAAACTCAAGAGTCTCTCTGCAGCATCTCCAGCCACATCAGTACGCACATCACTGCCAAAAACATGTGATTTGAATTCTGTTGTTGTTTTTAAATGCCATTGTAGCCCTTTTGGCGATTCCTTCCCTCTAAACACAACTTCCTGTGTCGTGATCACAGCCTGCTTGCTGTCTTTTCACCTGCACGCCTAAATGGCTGTGATCACATGATGTGTTTGCAAATTACAAGAAAATAAAAATAAATCGTGGAATCTCTTATTTTATCATAAACCTCATGAAATCCAATCCAGTTCCTCAATATAATATAATATTGTAATGTATTGGTTTCTTAATAAAGGAACTTGAGACAGGTTGAAGGACATTTAAATGAAGACTGCAGATAAAAATACAGTAAATTAAACAATTATAGTTATTAACATAAGAATCCAAAACCCATTGAAAATATGTTAGGAAAAGATGAAAAACTCCAGTGTCCCCCAATAAACTTCACACTTCAGTTCTACAAGGATGTGCAAATTTGGCAGGCAGTTATGGGGAGAGGACTCTCCCTTGAATCTCTGTCTCTCTGTTTGTCTTGCACTCACACTTACTTTAGCATCTTTTAACTCTGTGGGCTCCCCACTCCCTTGACCAGTTTCCATCTCCTCCTTAACAGGGCAGGGTGGTTCTGGGTACCTGTTCAATTATTTCATTCTTTTTCCTCATACAGTTTCCACCTTAGGGCTCATTCTTGGGTGCGTCATTGCAGTAGCTCTTCTTCTCCTGATCGTGGCTGGGATTGTTTTGGCCTGCATCTACATCAGTAAGTCAAGGAGTGAATGCCTTGGTTGGGAGGTTGCTGTGTGGTTGGAGGGAGGCGTTTTCCTGTGGAGTCTCCCTTCAGGGGGAAGATTGAGAGGAGTCATAGGGCCTCTATTCCTACCTCTTCTATCAGGCCTCATCATGAGTGTCTCTGGTCTGCTCCTCTTTCCCATGATAGCGTTTTTCAAATACCTAAAAGGTAGTCATACACAGGAGGGGCAGGATCTGTTTTCAATCATCCCAGAGTGCAGGATACATAATAATGGGCTCAAGTTTCAGAAAGCCAAATTTAGGCTGAATGTCATGAAAAACATCTTACTGTTAAAGCAGTATGACAATGGAACCAGTTACTCAAAGAGGAGGTGAGTGCTTCAACACTGGAGGTGCTAAACTTATACAACCACCTGGCAGTTGTCCTTTGATTTGTATTCCTGCATCAAGCTGGGGGTTGGGTTTGATGGCCCCTTTCAATTACATTATTCTGTGATTAAGAAGACAAAATGATGATTAGAGAAGAACTGTACAACTTCAATGTTGACCATGAAGAAATTGATATTTTTAAAGATTTTATATTGTTTCGTTTAGTCGTTTTGTCATGTCCGACTCTTTGTGACTCCATGGACCAGAGCACGCCAGGCCCTCCTATCTTCCACTGCCTCCCGGAGTTGTGTCAAATTCAAGTTGGCTGCCTCGATGACACTGTCCAACCATCTCATCCTCCGTCATCCCCTTCTCCTCTTGCCTTCACACTTTCCCAACATCAAGGTCTTTTCCAATGAGTCTTCTCTTCTCATGAGATGGCCAAAGTACTG